CCCCCCGACTGACACCTGTGGAAGGGGCTTGCAGAGGGGGAGAAAAGCCCAGGCAAGGTTAGCATCTCCTCATTGACCTTCCTTTGTTGGACAGGGAATGGGGTGTTTTGGGTACTGGACAGAGAGAATTACTTCTTCCTGGTTGTTCCTGTTTTAAGGTGGGTCAGTAAAGCTCTAGTAGGTTTTGCATTGTCTGACACCAGCTGACACCTGGACCAGTGGTGGAGACACATCATGTGTCAGGCGGAATCCGAGTGGTTGAAGGATGCCCCTGGGAGATCTTGATAGGCACCGAAGGCCTCAAACTTTTGTAGGCGTGAAAAGTGAAGAAATTAGAATTGATTCTGAAAACTCCTTCAAAGAAACTTGGTTCCAGCTTCCAAACGGCTGAAAAAAAAATCTTCTATACTTGTACCTGGAAGGTGAGGGCAGCAGGGCAGAAACGCTTCCCCTGCGATTCACAGTTTGGAGTTGGTGGCTATGATCTGCTAGTAATGGAAAGTCATGAAAGAGACTTGGCTGTTGTCTGTTTTTATGTGGTGACCTAAAGTCCCAGAGGATGACCTAGCACTTAAAAATCAAACTGGGCCAAGTTAAAGGCCAAGCTGACTTGAAGGAACCCTAGTGGTGGGACCAGGTCAGAAGTAAAGCAAATCCCAAACTGAGTGTATCTGGTCAAGGATATATTCTTTTTAAGAGACATTGTGTTACTGGAGCCAGGCCTGGATCTTTTAGCATCCAACTGAGCTGGAAGCAGCTCATAGTAATTTTTTGTTTTGTTTTTTTATTCATGTTTGTACAATCTTCTGGATATTTTTTTTCAAGAAGGAGTAAAAGGGAGTGTTGGAAACTAACAAACAGGATTAAAACCCTGAGCGCTTAAGGAAAACAGGTTAAGGAACTTAATCCAGGATGGATATGCAGGAGCCACAGCAGTTGGGTATGTTTGCAGAGAGTGAGCTGATGTCTGTGGGGATGGACACTTTTATCCATCGCATCGACTCCACGGAGGTCATCTACCAGCCACGGCGGAAAAGGGCCAAGCTCATTGGCAAATACCTAATGGGAGACTTACTTGGAGAAGGGTCTTATGGCAAAGTCAAGGAGATGTTGGACTCTGAAACCCTCTGTAGGAGAGCTGTCAAAATACTGAAGAAGAAGAAGCTACGCAGAATTCCCAATGGGGAGGCAAATGTGAAAAAGTGAGTAAATATTTCCAGTAGCTGGGAATCCAGGGAGTTAAATTTTATCATTACTTTCCAACTGATGTTCTCTATCATTTAAAATAATGACAGCTTTGTGTTCTGGAAGTGCTTTCTAAACCATATGTACTCAGGAATCTCTTTACCGTTGAAACACAGCCAACTGTAAGGTGAAGGGTGCTTCTAAATGCTGCCCAACAGTGAGAGGAAGCTTATTCTCAAGGGCATGGGAAGCGCATCTGTCCCCTTGAACAGAAGAGTATATAACACATGCCCTTTCTTAGTTTCATTACAAAGTAAGAGAGAATCTCTGTTTCTAAAATTTCATGTCAAAGATGCATTGAAAACTGGTGTTTGTAGTGAACTCAACTAAGAAAGATGAGGGATGGTATAGCTGAGAGTGCAGAAATACACTTTGTATTGTTGCTCTCTCTTATTGTGTATCCATATAAGTGTGTGTGTGGTTCTTAAGCTCTTTAGGGTGGTAATTATTGCTACCACCCATGAAATAAGTGCCTGGAATGCATGATCCAGTGTATTATGCACCCAATGGGCATAGGAAGTCTTGGGTTTTATTCTTGGTTTCACTTCTAATTAATGAGTTTGGGAAGTAATTCAAGGCTCTTTTCAGTTGATTTCTCCAGCTGTAAAATGGGGACAAGGGTTGTCAAGCTCTTCTTTTCAGTGACTCAAGATTTGTGCTTGGAAGGTATTTCAAGTGCCAGTTACATACTGATTAGTCAGTGCACAAGTAACTAATTAAAATATACTGCGGGGAGAAGCCTGGTGTTATGCCTCATTTGTAAGAGTTGTTATTATCTGAAACTTTCCCTTTTCTTGGTGTTGTGCCCTACATGTGAGGACCTAACAGCCAGCTGTGTTTTCCACAGCAAGCTGTTTGTTACAGCCCAGCAAGATAGAGTTGTTTATCTGGTGTGAAGGGGAGCCTTCTGCAGCCAAAACAAATTATTTGTGACAGTTTATCTTATAGTGGGAGGGAAAACTTATGAGATGTTTAGAAGACTCTTGTATTACGTCTTTCGCTGTGGTGTGCTGAGTGTAGAGCCCTGACCTAGTAGAGTCTTGTTTCTGTTTCTCAGTTTGGTTTGAGTTTCCGAGCTCAGCTGCAAGATATTTCACATCCTGTACTGGGACTTCTGTCAGCTAGCTGTTTAAGTTTCCCTTTTAACCTTCAGTGGACACGCTTAGCTACAGAATAGCAACAAGTCTTTCATGCAGGGGCCTCGCTTTCTCTCCTCTGCTGGCTCAAGTTCAGAATAAGAGTAAACTGCTGGTTAATGTGTAATAAAATGTTTCTTGTTTTTCTAGTAGAGGCAGGAGTGCCCCTTTCTATCACTGCCCCCCCTCCCTTAGGTTAAGTACTTCACCAAACAAGGGGGGGGGGTATTTCTGCCGTACTGGAATCTCGCATTTTAAAGTTCTCCCCCTCTCAGTGAAAAAGAACTTGCCAAGACACCTGACAGTTTCCTGGTATCAAAACTATGGTAATGGTCCTATGCTCTGAAGTGAACTCTGTAGAAACCTTACTCATGTATGAATGCCTTTGGCTTCATGGACTTTAGTTATTAAAGTAGACTAGCCAAGCAATACCTTGTCTTGTTATGGATATTTTTCTGACTCAGCAGCACCTGCCTCAAAACACTGTCTGAGGTGGATATGTGATGTGGCCTTCTAATAAGGGTTTATTTTAGTTCAAGTTCCTGTTTTTGTCACCTTGTCTTTTTTGTTGTCCACACACTTGTTTGCTTTATCTGCTTGCTCAGTGGTAAATAGATATCTTTAATGTATTTATTTGGCGAAATGTCACATGTTTATATGGTACCTATACAATGGAACTCTGGCCTGGTCAAAACCCTTTGACGTGACTGCTATGTGCAGAAAAAGTTGTCTCTGCTTAAAGTGAACCTGATGTCGCAGGATATATAATCAAACCTGTATAGTTTGCCTGGGCAGTGTAGGGGGGGGAAAACACAAACCGTTGCATGTGCAAATACCAATGTGACCACAGTAAGGCTTTATTTCCAGGTAGCACTGGAACGGAGTACCATTCTAACATTTTTTGACCACAGTCATATTGCTTGGCCAGATTCCATTAAAATTTCACTTTCTACAACTAGATTTGAGCAGCTTTGCTAAAGGGTTTATGCCCAGCAAGTTATTCACGTACCTTAGAACAGCAGAAGATCACTTTCTGAACTGAAGCTCACCATTAGTTCTACTTTCTCACTTGAAAGTTATTCATACCTGAAGTAATGCGTAAATGCAAGGTAGTTCCTGTGTTAGTGGGGCCTACTTCCACAGAATAAGGAGAAGCAGAATTGGGTATGTGATTAGTTTCATACTTGAAACTGAAGTTGTTTGCTCCGCGGAACCACTGATTAGCTTCTAAGTAACTGGAAGGGACACCAGTTACCATGGAGTTGTGGTGTTAGTGTCCTTTCAGATGTATTCTATTAATAACTTCATTTATCGTATGGAAAACAGCATGTTATTTCAGAGGTTGACTTCAGGACACAGCTTGTAATCTGTGGGTTTGCTCCTTCGGCTTCATTTCTCTTTAGTGGCATGGAAATGTTTAGGTCTCAATTCAGTGAGGAGGCATTCCCTCTCATAAAATTCACTACCATGACTGGTCTTACTCTGTCACTTCTTGCTTCCTTTGACTTCTTCCACTCCGTGAACGGAGTGGGCCACAGAGGCTGAACTCCCTTCTTATTCTGAGCAATATGATTCTCTCTAGATGAGACTGAGAGACAACTAAATGTGTGATGGACAATGAGCAATAAAGGGAAGAATTCAAGCTATTGCATCTTAGCTTTGGCTGTTTGACTACTGCTTTTAACCAGAATTAAAGACATCTAAGAGTATAATAGTTCTGGCCTTACCAAAAAAAATAGGGGACTGGGGGGGTGCAAGTCTGTTGTGACTTCAGGGATGTGAAAAGGCTCTCCCCCCCCCTTTTTTTTTTTCCCCCCTCCAGAGAAGAGTGGATTCCAAGAGTGTAAAAATCAGAAATCAGCTTTCAAAAGGTCATTCAAAGCAACTGTAGGTTTGATTTCATAAGGCCAAGATGATAATGAGCTGCTAATCCTGAAGGTTGTTTTGTTTTTGAGATCAGCCTGTGATCAGAGGTGTTCACAGTTTGACTCCAGTGCTGTTCTTTGCATTATTGCTTCTTGCCTCAGTCTTTGAGGCAGGGGGGAGGAGATGATAGAGAAAGACAGCAAAGATGGTCAGATCAAGTTGTGAATCTTTCTTTAAGCTCCTGTTTTTTGTGACCTTATCTGTACAAGGATGTCTGCTGCTCGGTACATGTGAGATATGAATTGTAACTATTTGGCTCTACTTTGTAAGCATCCCAAATTCAGTTGGTGTCCTTTGAGACTAAAATCTCTTCCTTCATCCGCCATCAGAACTGGACCACTGCTTAATTCTCCCTCTCCCTTCCAATGACCCCCGTGGGATGTGCAAATAGAAGTTTCCTCCAAAGCAGGAAACAGGTAGACATTTCCATTTACTGTAAATGAAATGGGATAAGATCATTACTCCTGACCTAATGGATCTTTTTTCTGCTGTAGAATCACTGGCTATCATCTTAACTATTAGTTTTTGCTCTGGGGGTGATTTCTTTGTATAGTGCTGCAAACATGTTAAAAGTGTATTGGTGGAGGGTCTGAGCAATTAGCACTGGTTGTATTTTCAGTTTTCTTGGTTTAAGTATACTTATTTCATGGACATGACCCTTTAATGTTTCAGTCTCAAAATACCTTGTTATATGGTTTCTCTTGCCTGAGAAGACAGCACCTCTTTGTAGATCAGACGACAGTCATCTACACTCCTGACTTTTTGTATCTGTAGCTTTTTCCTGTATTGCAACTTGATTTGACAGAGATATGATCAAACTATATAAAAATAGGTTTGTGCCTTTGCTGTTATCACTGGATGGCTGAGTACTGCTGCTGTTGTGGTGAAGATGAAGCTTCTCTTGCTAGCGTGTCATCAAAGAAACTCACTAGAAAACAGTTCCTAGACCTTTGGCCATTGGGTAATTGCATGAGTGAGTAATACACAGGGAGTAATGACAAAAAGGGAAAGCAAAATGATCAGTTTCAGAGGATTTTGCAGGTCTTTTCTATGCATTGGGGACCTTGGGTATGTGGGGTTGATATTATAGCTCAGGGAGCTCTGATTGTTAACGCAATTTTTGTTACTTCTTGCTAATGCTCGAGACATGCAGTCTCATCCCGCATGTATGTGCGGGTTGCTGCAACCTTGTCTCCTTGTGCACTAACAGAGTTTTGTGGACCTAGAAACTGACAGGAATATTTGAGAATTCCGCTTCCTAAAACTGAATGATTGTCTTCTGTCCCCAAACGCTCCAGTTTCGTTCCTGAAAAATGAACTACTAAGGGATCTGTAAAACTGAAGATGTTGAGGGTTTAAACTTTTCTCTGCTAGACAAACGTTCCCCTGAATAAATATAGGGAATGTCCATATGTCTCCAGTCCTTTCAGAGAAAGGTTGGGGTGGTGTATTCAATCAGGCAGTGCTGTGGCTAATTACTACTTCCAGTTAATACAAAAAGTGAGTTTAGTAGGATTGCCAAAAAGATGAAGGAAAATTTGGAAGATTATTTGTCTCTAGCAGCACAGTTTAATAAAACTGAGTGCTAATAGCTTCACATTTTTAATTAAGTGTTTGGAACTTTCTGTGCATATCCCAGGTGTCCTGTACTGTACTTACCATGTTCAGTGATTACTTAGATTTGAATATCATGCTCATTAGAATTCTTCTGAGGTTTAAAATGGGTAGGAGGCCTGTAATTTGGCAGTTTGCTACTTGGTCTACAAGTCAAGAGTCTTGCAAATCAAAACATGGGCAGTTCTGCTGAAGGAGAGACTTGTAAGCCGTGGAGAGGTATGTGTTTTGGATGAAGATGGTCTTGAGCTGACTCATTTGACTTCCTGTCCCTCACTCCT